TCCTGAATTCCTGGGCTTAAGCCATCCTCCCGCCTGGCCTCTCACAGTGCTGGGATTACAGGCTGAGCCTGGCGCCCGGCCCCGCCCCTGCACCCGAGGCCCCGCCCCAAGGCCTGTGCTGAAACGGGTGCGCCGAAAAGCCGGGATCGCCGAGTGCGCCTGCGTATGCAGTGGACCTCCCGCGCCCCACGTTCCTTTTCCTCGCCTCCCAGCCTGGTCCCTGAGAGGGGGCTCTCCGCGCAGGCGCTTTGAGGCACAGCTCCGCCCCGCCCCCTCGCTGGTCCTACGGTGACAATCAGGCTCCCGTCGGCGTCTAACGTCTGGGCAGCGTCATCCGCTACGTTCGCCTTTTTGCCGTCTCTAGGGGTTTCTCCTCGCACTATCGTGTTCCAGCGCTGGCTCCGAGCTGGGAGGGTCTCTGAGCCCTGAGCCCGCCCTCTCCTCGGCGGGCCCTCCGGGGGTGCTTTAGCTCTGGGTCTTCTTGCCGAGCCTGGCGCGCCCTCTGGGCCCCTCTGGGAACGCTAGCCCTGGGCAGAAATTGCCTTTGTGGTTAAAGTCGGCCCGCGTAACTTTTCCACTCTACCGCCGAATCTGGACCCAAGCCAGCCTCACCTTGTGCATGAGTAGACAGTTTGTGTTAAGCCGCCAGCTTCTTGGAACAGAGCTCTCTGCCAAAGTCGCGCTGAAGAATTCATAGTCAAAAGCTGAACTTGCAGAAGAAGTTTTTACTTCTGGAATGAGTGTTGAGATGAGATCGATTCTGACATTCAGTTTCGCTTTTGGGATTACGCCTTGGATTAACTCAGCTACCCTGATGAGCTAAAGACTGTAGTATATTTGAAGGAAGACACGAGGAACTGTTTTGTATTTTGTAGGGATAAAACAGGACCCTGAGGAGATTATTATATGAAGACTCGTTAAAGAAACTAGCCTGGAGATGGCTTATGTAGTTGTAGGCTCCCCTTTGTTTTTGTTTTGTTTTTTGAGACGGAGTCTCGCTCTCGCCCACGCTGGAGTGCAGTGGCGCGGATCTCGGCTCATTGTAACCTCCGCCTCCCGGGTTCAAGCGATTCTCCTCCCTCAGCCTCCTGAGTAGCTGGGACTACAGGCATGCACCACCACGCCCGGCTAATTTTTTTGTATTTTTAGTAGAAACTGGGTTTCACCATGTTGGTCAGGCTGGTCTCGAGCTCCTGACCTCAAATGATTGGCCCACCTTGGCCTCCTAAAGTGCTAGGATTACAGGCGTGAGCCACCGCTCCTGGCCTCTCTCCCCTTTGTTATAGGCCCTAAAATGACTCTGTTTACTCAATCATATCACCTGCCCTACTCCTATAGGCATTTGAATTGATGATTCATGATATGGTCTTTAGAGGCTCCAGAGGAATTTGCAAATGTATTAGCATCCGCTCAGTGACTGCTGGTTACCTGAGATACAGCAGGACAAAAAGGACAAGGTCTCTGCCTATGGGAGGTATGAGTAGCCAGTGTATTCTTTAGACTTGTTAGGCATTAGGTATTTTAGGAAGAGTGTTGATAGAGATAGATGGAAAAACTTACTCTCCTCTCATCCTTAGGAGCACTTGCTGAGGGGTGTATATATCTGTCGAATAGAGTGAATTCTGAGTAATGGGGTGACATTTTCTTGGTATCATCTAAAATGTTCTCTCCTTTTTGAAAGCCACAATATCCTCAGTCTGTTAGGGTCCCTGTTCTTGAATTTGTGTGCTTCTATTTCCATTTGTTACACAGAGCTCAACTAAGAGGTGAAACAAAAAACCTTTGCCAATTTTTCAGTCATAACCTTGATATTTTGTGAGCTTAAATACCTGTAATTATACTATTTTTGTACTTTGGAATGGCTTTCACAGAAGGCAAATTTATTCCTAAATTATTAGAGGTAGTTTTACTAAGCAAGTTTATATCCATTGTATTCAGTACTTTGACTAGAGTTCATTTAAAGTGTGATTTGGAGTTACCCATGACCTTCTACCCCATTACCTTGATTAACCTAGTATTAGATTAACACTAGAGTGGGGAATGGGTGAAGAAGGAGAGGACTTGTGAACATAATTAGATCTTCATTTTGGAAGTGAATAATTTTGGCTTAGAAAGAACACTTCTGACTGCAGTGTGAATAGTTTGTGAGTAGATAAAGGCACAGAAGCCATTTAAAAGCCCATAGTAATGTAATGCGTAAGAAAAGCAGTAACCTGAACTAAGGCAGTAATAGTGGGAATGAAAAGACATACTCAAGGTATGGAACCTGGCAGATGTAACTAATGGTTAGACATAGGAACAAAGAGGGGAAGATGGTATCAGTGGTGACCTTCAGATTTCTGGTGTAAAGTCCTGGGAGGATGGTGATAACACGGTCAAGAAGTGAAAACAAATGGTTTGAAAGCCAAGTATCTTGAAAGTCAGATAAGTCTCCCTCACTTCATCCCTTCTCAGCTTGACAAAACCACTTAAAAATGCAACATTTTCTTGACAGGCTACTGGCTACAACACATTCTCCCAACCAATTTATTTCCCTTAAGTTTTCGTTATATGCAACAATAACCTGATTTGGCTAATTTAAACCAAATTAAAGGGGTTGGGGAATTTAGAAGAATTCTGGGATAGTTTATATAACTTAAGGAAGAGCTGAACAACTAAGCTTGACAATGGGAACCAGGATACTTCCATGATCCTCAGCAGCATGATCTTCTTTCTAGAATGCATTGTAGGTGGCTTCTCTGTCTTTTCTGTGTATCTGTTCAAGCTTCAAATACTAAGACAGTCTAGTACAATGTGTTTTGTTTTGTTTTGTTTTTTTGAGATAAGATCTTGCTCCGTCACCCAGGCTGGAGTGTAGCAGCACGATCATGGCTCACTGTAGCCTCAACCTCCTGGGCCCAGCCGCCCAAGTAGCCAGGACCACAGGAATGTGCCACCACACCTGGCTAATCTTACTTTTTATAGAGACAGCGGTCTCACTATTTTGCCCAGGTTGGTCTTGAACTCCTCGCCTCAAGCAGTCCTCCCATCACACAGCCTTCCAAAGTGCTGGGAAATGTTTCAACCTGTAAATTAGTTGGCCATGGCCAAGGACACAAGTGAGTATGGACAATGGGGAAGTAACGAAACATTGCAAACCTACCTGCCCCAGGTCATTGAAGTTGTATAAATGTAGAGCAAGTAAATTGGCATTCATAATTCTGGGAAGAAAGGGGTCATAAAACTTTTTATTTCATAGGGCTTGTGATGGTTAATACTGAGTGTCAACTTGATTGGATTGAAGGATGCAAAGCATTGGTCTTGGATGTGTCTGTGAGGGTATTGCCAAAGGACATTAACATTGGAGTCAGTGGACTGGGGAGAGCAGACCCACCCTTAATCTGGCTGGGCACCATCTAATCAGCTGCCAGTGAATATAAAACAGGCAGAAAAACCTGAAAAGATGAGACTGGCCTAGCCTCCCAGCCTATATCCTTCCCCTGTGCATTTATCCCCCTCCTGCCCTCCAACATCAGACTCCAAGTTCTTCAGTTTGGGGACTTGGACTGGCTCTCCTTGCACCTCAGCTTGCAGATGGCCTATTATGGGACCTTGTGATCATGTGAGTTAATACTTAAAAGGCCAGGCGCGGTGGCTCACGCCTGTAATCCCAGCACTGTGGGAAGCCGAGGCAGGCGGACCACAAGATCAAGAGCTTGAGACCATTCTGGCCAACATGGTGAATCCCCATCTCTACTAAAAATACAAAAATTAGCTGGACGTGGTAGCATGCACCTGTAGTCCCAGCTACTTGGGTGGCTAAGGCAGGAGAATCACTTGAACCAGGGAGGTGGAGGTTACAGTGAGCCAAGACCGCGCCACTGCACTCCAGCCTGGTAACAGAGCAAGACTCTGTCTCAAAAATAAAAAATAAAAAAAATAAACTGCCCTACACACACACACACACACACACACACACACACACACACACACGTATATTTATATCCTATTAGTTCTGTGCCTCTAGAGAACCCTGACTAATACAGATTTTGGTACCAGGAGTAGGGTCCAGAACAGGAGAAGGCTCTGCAACAGGTCCAGGCTACTGTGCAAGCTGCTCTGCCACTTGGGCCATATGACCCAGCAGATCCAATGGTGCTTGAGGGGTCAGTGGCAGATAGGGATGCTATTTGAGCCTTTGGTAGGACCCATAAATGACTCACGGTGGACGCCGCTAGGATTTTGGAGCAAGGCCCTGCCATCTTCTGCAGATAACTACTCTCCTTTTGAGAGACAGCTCTTAGCCTGTTACTGGGCTTTGGTGGAAACTGAACGTTTGACTATGGGTCAGCAAGTCACCATGTGACCTGAACTGCCTATCATGAACTGAGTGCTTTCTGACCCATCTAGCTATAAAGTAGGTTGTGCACAGCAGCATTCTATCATCCAGTGGAAGTGGTATATGTGTGATCAGGCTCTTGCCGGTCTTGAAGTCACCTGAGAAATAAGTTACATGAGGAAGTGGCTCAAATGCCCATGGTCTCCACTCCTGCCACCCTGGCTTCTCTCCCCCAGCCTGCACCAATGGCCTCATGGGGAGTTCCCTATGATCATGATCAGTTGACAGAGAAAGAGAAGACTAAGGCCTGGTTCACAGATGTTTTGCATGATATGCAGGCACCCCCTGAAAGTGGACAGCTGCAGCACTACAGCCCCTTTCTAGGACATCCCTGAAGGGCAGTGGTG